TGGGGCCCCCAAAACCCCTCTTGGGACCCCCAAACCCCCCCCGGGACCCCCAACCCCCTCTTAGGACCCCCAAAACCCCTCTTGGGACCCCCAAAACCCCTCTTGGGACCCCAAAACCCCTCCCGGGACCCCCAAAACCCCTCTTGGGACCCCCAAACCCCTCCCAGGACCCCCAGCCCTGTCCCACACCTCCCACTATCCCCCCCAGACTCCAGCCTCCCCCCCAAACCCCCCCAGCACCCCAACCTTGCTCCAGCCTGGCCGCCGCAGCCCGAAGGGTCCCCCCGGTGCCCCCCGAGTCCGTGGGGGTCCCGGGCCGGGAGCCCCCCCTGGAGCTGCTGCCCGAGGCCCTGCGCTCCCGTTTGGGGGGGGTCTTCTTCTTCTGAGGGGGGAGAGAGACAGGGAGGGGTCAGGGGGTGCCCAGTTCCCCCGTGGGACCCCCGGAGGGATGAGACCCCCGGCCCCCCCTCACCGCCATGAACAGCGCCGAGGACGTCTCGCTGTCGATGTCGCTCTCCTCCGACGTCTGCGACTCATCGCTGCTTTCTGGGGGTTTGATCACGTCACAATCCCGCTTTTCTGGCTGTTTTCCCCCGATTCCTGCTGGGGGGAGGGGTCTTACCCCTCTTTTTCTTCTTCTCCTGGGGGGTGGGGGTCGCTTTTCCCTCCTCTTCCTCCTCCTTCTCCTCTGCCTTCTCCTCCTCGCTCTCCTCGCTGCTCTCGCTCGCCTCGTCGATGCCTTTGTTAGGGGGGGATCCTGAGGGTCTTGGTCCCCAAAAATCCCCCCTTGGACCCCAAAACCCCTCAGGAATTAAGAATGGGGTCCCAACCCCGTCCCCAACTCCACCTTTTGGGCCTTCCTCCTCCTCCTTGGGCGCTTTGGCTTTGCCCGTCTCTTCCTCGCCGGAGCTGCTGCAGGACAAGGGGGGATTGGGGAGCACGGGAGGGGCTTGGTGGGATTTGGGGATCCCTGAGGGGGTTCTGGGGGTCCCAGGGAGGATTTCAGCATCCCTGGGGGGGTCTGGGGGGGACACTTTAGGTGAGCAGTGCGGTTGGGAGCATCACAGGGGGTCCCCACCCCCCCAAAATCCCTCCCAAGTGCCCCCCAGGGCGCCACAAGCCCTCACTGTGGTCCCCAAAACCCACCCAAACCCACCCAGGACCCCCCAAAATCCCTCCAAAACCCCCCCAAGGACCCCCAGAACGCCCCCAGTCCCACCTGGAGCCGTCAGACATGTAATCCACCTCCTGGCCCTCGAAGTCGCCGTCGTCGCTGTCCTCGAGGGCTTCGTCCTCAGAGCCCTTCCTGCCCTTCCTCCTCTTCCTCTTGGGGTGTCCCCCGGCAGCCTTCGGCCTCGCCGCCTTCTCCCCTGGGGATTCCAGGTGTTGGAGGGGCTTTCAGGGGGATTTGGGGGGGATTCTGTGGCTTTGAGAGGTAATTCTGGATTTGGGGTGGTTTGGGTGGGTTTAGGGGAGGATTTGGGGGCTTTAGGGAGGATTTCTGTGGGGTTTTAGGCAGATTTTGGGGCTCCCCTCCTCGCCCTCGGTGTCTCTTCTCAGAACAGGGATACTTTGGGTGGGTTTGGGGTGGATTTTGGAGAGATGTGAGGAGGATTTGGGGGCACTTGGAGGAGGATTCTGTGGGATTTTGGGATTTCCCCTCTCACCCTCAGCCTCGCTGCCCTCGCTCTCCTCGGAGCTGAGCTCCAGATCCTCCTCCAGGTCGTGGATCCGGAGCCCCCCGCCCTTGCCCGGGGCCTTCCTCCCCTTGTCTTTGTCCTCCTCCTCCTCGTCCTGGTCCCGCAGGCGCCGCTGCTGCATGATGCTGAAGTGGTTCAGCACCTTGTTCCTCCTGGGGGGAGTTGAGGGGGCTCAGCGGGGCTGGGAGGGGATTTGGGGGGGCTCACAGGGGCTGGGGGGGCTGGACAAGAATTTGGGGGGCGTGGGAGGATATTTGGGGGGGACCTGAGGGGATTTAGGGGGCTTGGGGGAGTCTTCAAAGG